GGCAGAAATGCATACAAAAATTTAAAAAAGACAGGCAAAATAAATACCATGGGTGAAAATAAATAAGGTAAATAAATACAAAGGAAGAATAAACCAGACAAAATATTAAAACACACACATAAATAAATACATTAAAAAAATTAGTAATAAATAAAGTTGAATAAACAAATAAGGTAATTATAACAAAGGTGAATAAGTAAAGGCACTAATTAAAATATAACATTTATGTCTCCTTGTATAATTTAATTACTACCTACATTTATTTATTTACTTTATTTTTTTGTGTATTTAATTGGATGCTTATTTATTTATTGAGCATTTATTTATTTCTGTATTTATTTCTGGCTGTGTCAGGATCGGTCCTCCATAACGGGGTGGGAGAGTTATCAAGCACGTAAAGTTTGGTTAGATGTGAGCATGTACACTGAAGTTACAACAACTTCCTGTGTCATGGCGAAGACTTGATCTCTGACGCCACGCCACGGACACACCCATTGACGAAAACTCGCAAATAGCACAACTTTTCATCTTCAATGCCTTTAGAAGGCACAGCACAAATTTGAAGTCGGTCGGACTAAATCCCTAGGAGGAGTTCGTTAAAGTACGAAGTGTGTAAATCATCCAAAATTTGACGTAAAATTCAAAATGGCCGACTTCCTGTTGGGTTTAGGCTATGGCTCCAAGAGACTTTTTTGTGCGTCTGGACAAGATACACGTACCACAGAAAATTCGTGCACGTAGGTGAAACGTGCGGCGGGGGCTGCTTCGTTAAAAGTCACTTCCTGTTGCCAGCAGGTGGCGCTATGACTGTGGGTGAATGTCAGCATGTACATGTGTTCAGGGCGGGACTCTCATCCTACATGTACAGTTTGGTGCAGATGTGAGCATGTACACTGAAGTTACGACAACTTCCGTGTCATGGCGAAGAGTTGATCTTTGACGCCACGCTACGGACACGCCCATTGACGAAAACTTGCAAATAGCACAACTTTTCATCTTCAATGCCTTTAGAAGGCACAGCAGAAATTTGAGGTCGGTCGGACTAAATCCCTAGGAGGAGTTCGTTAAAGTACGAAGTGTGTAAATCATCCAAAATTTGACGTAAAATTCAAAATGGCCACTTCCTGTTGGGTTTAGGCTATGGCTCCAAGAGACTTTTTTGTGCGTCTGGACAAGATACACGTACCACAGAAAATTCGTGCACGTAGGTGAAACGTGCGGCGGGGGCTGCTTCGTTAAAAGTCACTTTCTATTGCCAGCAGGTGGCGCTATGACTGTGGGTCAATATCAGCATGTACATGTGTTCAGGGCGGGACTCTCATCCTACATGTACAGTTTGGTCCAGATGTGAGCATGTACACTGAAGCTACGACAACTTCCGTGTCATGGCGAAGAGTTGATCTTTGACGCCACGCCACGGACACGCCCATTGACGAAAACTTGCAAATAGCACAACTTTTCATCTTCAATGCCTTTAGAAGGCACAGCACAAATTTGAGGTCGGTCGGACTAAATCCCTAGGAGGAGTTCGTTAAAGTACGAAGTGTGTAAATCATCCAAAATTTGACGTAAAATTCAAAATGGCCGACTTCCTGTTGGATTTAGGGCATCGCTCCAAGAGACTTTTTTGTGCGTCTGGACAAGATACACGTACCACAGAAAATTCGTGCACGTAGGTGAAACATGCGGCGGGGGCTGCTTCGTTAAAGGTCACTTTCTATTGCCAGCAGGTGGCGCTATGACTGTGGGTGAATGTCGGCATGTACATGTGTTCAGGGCGGGACTCTCATCCTAGATGTACAGTTTGGTCCAGATGTGAGCATGTACACTGAAGTTACAACAACTTCCTGTTTCATGGCGAATCATCGACGCCACGGACACGCCCATTGACGAAAACGCGCAAATAGCACAACTTTTCATCGTCAATGCCTTTAGAAGGCACAGCAGAAATTTGACGTTGATCCGACTAAATCCCTAGGAGGAGTTCGTTAAAGTACGAAGTGTGTAAATCATCCAAAAATGGCCATAAAATTCAAAATGGCCGACTTCCTGTTGACTTTAGGCTATGGGTTCTTGAGGCTTTTTTGTGCGTCTTGACATGATACATGTCCCCAGAAAATTTCGTAGATGTAGGTTGAACGTGAACGAGGGGCTAATTTTTTCCAATTTTCTAGGTGGCGCTAGCGAGTCATTTTGCAACGCCCATGTGCGAAACTTGTAGAATACGAAATTTTTCACCGGTTCTGACATGTTTGCAAATTTTGGTGAGTTTTCGAGAATGTTTAGGCCATGTCATTTGAGCCTACTTTGCAGAAAAAAGAAAAAAAAAAAAAAAAAAAAAAAAATAAAAAAATAATCCGAGCAAATTCAATAGGGACCTCACACGGTCGTGCTCGGGCCCTAAAAAATAAAAAATAATCCGAGCAAATTCAATAGGGACCTCGCACGGTCGTGCTCGGGCCCTAATGAATGTACCGGGAGAAACCGAGGGAAGAGAGGACGCCATGCTGATGACATAGACTATTAAGACTTATTAACTCAGCAAACAGAACCAACAAAAGCTTTAATCATACATGACAGACACATATGACAAATTGCCACAGCCAGTATGTGCCCTAATAGACAGTACAGCTTAAAAGCTTGTAAGTTAAGTGCATGAAAACAATTCATTTATGTACCTTGATTTAGACAATGGAGGCCTAAAGGACTGGAGAAGCAGTTTAATAAATTTATGAGAATTGATACCCAGTTATGAATTTTATTATTCATAAAATCAAACCAGATTCCTCGTTTCAGGGCACCACCGGAGTTGTTATAATCCTAGAGTCTACGGACCTCTAGGTAGTTTTAATAATTATACAATTATTACTAGTGATCAGTTAGTTAATAATTGCTCAATTATCTTAAATCAATCAGTCAGTCTCATATCTAAAGGGTCAATTCTCTCGGCAGGGACGTAGAAATAGGTAACACACACAGTTCTTGATTATATTACAGTGAATTTATTCTCTAACTAAGGTGATAAAAAGATGGTTGGATACAGGGAACATCAACATTTGCATTTGAACAATGAGCCTGGAGGTTCGATTGTTGGAAGCATTTGACTCATACGGCATAGAAGAGCTAATGAAAGTATACTAATGCTATGATTTTAGGAGTTAACATGGACATCTGATCACAGAACGTGTGTTAGTCTTACTGCTTGTTGACAGCCTGCTTTTGGCCTGTTGCACGGGTCCCACGTCAGCTGCCCGATCCTGGCTTTTTGCTAGGGATTCTCCGGGGTTCTCCGTGTCTGATTGAAAAGAACGTCCTCCATCTGGCAATTCGGCTGTTTTCAGGTTTCCTTCGTTGTAGCTAGCGAGACCACGTGGCTTGGTCTGACCTCGGTGAAGTTAGCTCAACGAAAAAGGCTTAAAATGGAACTTGGTCGTTCCTGAATTAGTCCAGTGTAACTTAACGGAACTCATAACTTTAACAAACAAAAGAAATAAAGAAAATAAAACAAACTGAAGGCAGATCGATGTCGTGGCACTTCAGGTGTGTAGCTTCAGGCGAACAAAAAGCCTGTCTCGCTGGCCGAGTCTGAAGGCGTTGCCTGGTGAGGCACGCCGTCGCGTGCCGAAGCGTCCAGGGAGCCGAGCAGAGCGGAAGAGAGCCAACAGCGAAAAGAAGAGAGCGAGAGGTCGCGTGTCGCTCTTATGTTGTCTGGGGCGTGGTTCCCCAGGGGGCGTCTCAGGTTTCCCGAGGGACTGCCTCTCTAAACTTAATGTCTAAAGAAAAGAAATCTATTTGCGCGTATTATAATCAAATATTTTCCACAATCGAACCTCAACGGTCACATGGTTGTACTGTTCTAGGCATTTGGTAACAGGAAACAATTGTCACATTATTGGTCAGGATATTTTTACATTAACGGCATTTCCAACGAGGGCATGTAATACTTATTTCGTCCACTTGGGAGAGCTCAGGTTACATGAGGAAAGCTTGGATTACATTAGATGAAGGAGTGTCTTGCTGAAAATAAAAACACTGCACAACTTTCTTTTCAGCACTAATATCAACAACGGATAGTAACAATAGTTAACATAACTACTCAAATAGAGGCAAACGTAATCAGGTAACTAAAGATTTAATTAAACTTAATTAAATGTTTTGAATCTTTGGAGACTGCAGTCTTTGGCCATTCAAAGTTCGGCTGTCCTGGATTGTGTCACACCTAGGTGAGACAAGGAGTATCCCTTTGATGTGGTAATAAAACAAAGAATAAGGTCAGTTGCCACGGAAACATGTGTGGGGGGCCAGTTTTGATAGGCTGTTCAGGGAAATGCCAATGGCTGGTTCATGTCCCTTTGTCAGTTTAACAGTCAGGCTCTGCGTTATCAGCTTCAGAATCAAAAAGGTGCCAGTTTTATGGTCGGGCTAACACTTAGAGAAAGCAACTTTGACCCCTCCCCTTCTTCTCTGGGGAGGAGAAAGGAATTTAGAGTAGCTCCAAATTTATTCAATATAAAATGCACAAATCCACACCGTTGTTCACTACACTGGAAAGTTACCAGTTTGATCCTGTACTGCCAGCATTAATCTGGGTAGAAAGAGAAAATGCTTACCATTCCCAAATTACCACCGCTGAGGTGCCCTAAAGCAAGGTGCCCATCTTTCCATCTCTGACACAAACAACAAAAACCCAAGAAGCAAACTCGCTCTTTTCCAATAATACAGGAAAAGCAGCAATGGAAGAAAAGTTGTCAAAATTCCCTGTGGGTCTCAGAGTCACTTAGCAGCAGTTTCACACTCTCACTAACAGATTCCCAGCATGCAACAAGAGAGATAGAGAAAGCAACAGAGAGAGAGTGAGAGATGGAGGACTGTATGTCTGCAGGTTTAACAGTATCCTGCACTGCTTTGGCTTGTATGTGTCCCTCTTGATGTTGGCTGATATATAAATGGTGTGCTCTCCTCTGTATATTTTTCAGGTGGCTGTGACAGGGGCACCCCCGGGGCAGGACCCATGAGGAGTCATAGAAGATGCTCACAGCCTGGGCGCTTCTGCTCTTCTTAGCCATGTGGGTGAGAAGCACCTCTGGTGGCCCGCTCTCCTTCAGAATAGGTAAATTGTACGACAGAATTGTATGGTCTTGTGACAGTGGAAAAACTGCTGCCCACGCATGTTGACCCTGGATGGTTTTTTTTGGGTTTAAAGACATTCTCACACTCACACTTGCACGGTTTTTATACACTGCATGCATAAACCGATTCTGTCTTTCATATTAATTGAAACATCTGCGAATGAATGAATTAAAATTATCAAGCTTGAGTTTCTATGAAATTACTGTAAAAATACCAGCTCAAATTAATAGCACAGTCTAACTTCACAGAGTCTGATGGGAAAATAGGCTGACGAAATTCAACCAAAATTGTTGAGAAATACCCATGTTTCCTAAGTCACGCATGGCTTGAGGTATCAACAGGCTAAAAGAATTAATATGTGGTGATGACAATATACTAATTGCCTGTGGAATACACAAGACACAGACTAGACAAAAATAAATTATGTAATTATTATTTGTTCTATGCAGTGTTGCAGAGAGAAATCCATAGAGTATGTATGTAGAATCAATATATTATAAATATCCATAACAACTAATTGATTTTAAACAGTTAGGTACATGTTTATTATTATAACTGAAAACATCTGGATGGCAAAGTGTCATAATGTATATACTATTGAAGTGTATTCATTCATATATGGTACAGCTTTGTTGAAAATAAAAACATACAGTAATTAGCGGATTTAGCTGTTATCATATAGACAGTTACTTAACATGGAAAAATATATTCAAAAGGCAATTTTTGATTGGAAGACTGTACAACTTGGATGTTATAATTAAGCATCATGTCTTCGCTTTACCTTACATTAACAGAAACTGGAGCACACACGACACTGCTTTTCTCAAAAGTCTATCATTACAAAATATTTTTACTTGCTATACAATTCAAGTGTACTGTAACTAGTCTCTTTGCTGCAAATCTATGAACTATGTAATCATGACCATTCGTTTCATCTCTTTAAAAGGTTCAGTGTGTAATACTTAGGAGAAGACTTTGCAATATAATGGTAAAATAATAAAACATAACTGTGTTGTCAGTGGTGTATACAGAAATAATAGTTTAGTAGCCCAAACGGAGAAACAGCACTGCAGAGCGCGTTTGGTCACTTAATAAGTACTAAATACGTACGAAGAAGGAGACGAACAAATAACGTCAGTAGTAGTATTAGTAATAGAAATGGAGGACCACACGTATTATTTAGGACAAGAGCAGAGCTTGTTGGCTACCAAAGCTTCTCCTGCACACTTGGAAAGGGAACGTTGAACGGTGCATTCATGTGGTGTCGGAAGAATCTTTTTGTCCTCCTTAAATCTTTATTGCAAAAGAGAAATAAAGTGTACATAGGACATGAAGAGGGAAACAGAACTATGATTTGTGCAAAATCACGTATTGCATATATCCATCCATCCATCGTCAACCGCTTATCCTGCGTACAGGGTCGCGTGGGGGCTGCAGGTAACTAGATGTCTGTGTGTTGTTTATATGCTCTGGTAATGCTAATCCACATCTTTGTAGCAGTGTCCATATGAATTCCAAATTCCAACTTAAGAGCACATGAACACACACTGAAGACGGAAGAAAGACTTTATAAATTGTGAAATGGGACCATCTGAGGAGCACTAAATGCACCATGAGCCACTGGTTGAACATTCACCATTAGATTCCACTAAAACTTACACACTGAACCTTTAACATAACCTGACCCACACCGTTCTGATTGTCACCAGACATTTTCACCGATTACTGCATTTAGAGCATATAACGCAATTGTAAGTTACCACCACTCAGCGTGATTAGTATAATTTCTGGATAAATCAATGGTATTGTTACACCAGCTGCTTAAAAGAGTAGCACAAAGTCTAGCAATAAACACTGATATTTTGCTTCTGGAAAAAGTGGCAGGTCAGTGGACCAAGGTTGAAACTGACTATACTTTGCATCTGGCACCAAGTCATGGTTTGAATTTCTCATAACCTGCCAGAGTCTGTTGTTAACCAATGGGAGTTCCTTCTTGTTGTTATTCTCCTACAGTCAGCAGGTCTGTGACACCCTGTCACTAGCTCCCTGTCTACCAAAAGTTTGACTGACTTTCTCTTTATTTATGTATATACCCCCTTGTATTAGGTGGGGAACAGTGTGTGTATGTGTGTACTGTATATAGAAACAGATGGGAAGTAGAGGTAAAGATAGAGACTGAGCATGAGATTGATTCTACAGCTCACAAACTGTGTTTCCATTGTGGTCTCTCAGTGGCTGGCTTTAAATTTATAGCACGGTTGTCAATTTTCAGGAACAGCTGAGAGTGGGATTTGTTGTCAGTGGAGAAGGGTGGAAGTTAATAACACAAAAGCAGTATACAAATCCCCATGTGGTCATTGTAAAGCTATTAAAACGTCAAGTAAACACAAATGGTGCATTGAAAATGTGAATGTTTCTTGACGTAGAGCAGAAGTGCATCTTTTAGAAAAATGAAGGATAAAGCTATTGAAAACAAATAATTTGCCTTGGTGAAAGCTAGTGTCTTTTGGTGCCATTGATTCAGTTCTCAGTGTGATAAAAACAACTGAGTATTTTCTGGAGAAATTAGTTTCATTAATAGTGAAAACATTGTTTAGTTTAAGTCGGAGAAAGTTCCAGTCTCGCAGGCTCATAAATGCACATTGGAACTTTAATGCAGCCTCTTCCTGATATTTCCCTCCTCCCTTCTCCTGTTGTGTGAGAGAAATAAGTCTTTTTATCCTTCCAGCATTTTGAACCTTGACAAAATGCAACTGTCATGTTTAAACAGTATCACTCATTTCTTCTATGTGAACAAGACATTTTTTTGTATCACTCACTTCACTTTTTCAGTTTTCTCTCCTGACTGCTCTCTGTCTCACAGCTCTGCTGCAGCACAGCTAAGGTTTCCTGAATTTTCTCGGTGGTTTGGCATATGATGCCTCAAACCATCGTCTGTATTTTGAAAACAACACAGCTTCAAAGTTAGTGTATCAACAAGCCCAAGCAACAAGAACAAATCATTCCTTGTTTGTGAATATTGTTGGATAAATGACTAGCAGCACACATGTCTCTACTTTCTCTCTGCATTCTTTTCCACCCTCCACCTGATTGTACAGAAGCACCGCCGCGGCGATGGTGGTTTATGTTTTCTCAGTCAGGTTGCATCGTTGATGGATAATTAGGCAGTTGGCCTGTTTTTCCTTTTCTTCTAATGTCATCTGTGCACAGCGCCAGCCTCTTTGCCAGTTTACTGTCAGTGTGTGTTTGTGTGTGTATCTGCCAGTGCCATGTGTGTGTGTGTGAGTATTTATGCACGAGGCATAGATATGCACAAGCACATCCACACACACACACACATTTCAAAGCACACCAAACAAACACACACCTCCTAACACCACCACAAACTCCCTGCCATTTGCGCTCTAGGAGATGGTATTTAACATGGCTGTCCCTTGAGTACTGCCTGGCTGGCATAATGTCACTGTCTGGCCTTCTCTGAATGTAACAGGGCCAAAAACAACCTCCCGCCCCTGCCACATTCCCCGCCAGGACCATCCAGCAGCCAGCTGGAGGGTGCAGAGTGTAGGTGAATTGAGGAACTTCTTTGTCTCTGCCATGTAGTTGGAAAGTCGGTGAAAATGTACATTTGTTTGTAAAAGAGTCGGCATGTACGATAGGTCTGTATGCCCTCTGATAGACCCTCTGATCGGGAAGATAGGCAATAAAAGCTTTTATGGCATTTTTTTACTGCGGTGTTGTTGGAAACTGTTGTAGAGCAATGAAAGATAAATTACAGCGATATTGACCTTAGAAAGTATAAATAATTGAATTCGCTTCAGCATTGCTTTGAATAACAAAAAACACACAGTAGGCGTGGAAAGTATAAACGGTACAGAAAGTACACTGGTTTGAATTTGCCCTATGTTATGAAGTTTGACTATACCGTGCTGACTGATAGAGCTCTCGTTTTGCTTGGCCAGGATTTGGCGCAGGACTCGTTGTCATCAGCCTGCGAAAGCAAATCGGCTGGAAAACGAGAGAACCAGTGCAGTTTTTATTTTGGAAACAAAGACATGGCTGAAGTCAGAAAACTAGCAGAAAACAATCTTCAAATTATGACAGACTACAGTGGTTGCAAGGGCTGGTAATACAAGCAGTCTTTTCTATCACCTCGTATCAAAACACGGAAAGCAACAGAATGCATCCTCCACCAATGTCAAGTGAATCGTTGAGCAGCAGTGGGAAGAAAGCATGAAAACATGTTTTTATGTTACTTGGGAAAAGGTTTTGTATTTTATTTCTATTTATTATTGCAGTTTTGCACAAGAAATGTTCTTAAAATACCTTTGTACTAAATATTTCATAGTAATACAGTAAAGTTCACAGTAATAGCTGCCATGTGGTTGTCATACTAGTGCTATTGAAATTTGAAGGAAAACTAATAAACAGTGACAGATACTGTTGGCGCCCTTGCTTCAAATTCTACTGTGATATAAACTTTAGGCCATGCTGCCCAGCCCTACCACACAGACAAGTGAAGCTTTAACAAATGTGAATAGCATAATTTAATAGACAGTGCATTAGGTAAAATCAATTCACAAAATACTGTCATGAAAGAACATTCAGTTGAGATGACCTCTTATCAATTCCGACATGGCACTACATAAGTAAAATGTTTAAACAAGAACAGAACAGATACTGCATAATATTACATGAAAAATCCCTGTTTACTGCCATATGGTGCAGCTTGTTGTTGTGGGTGGTATTCCCCCATTAGTTAAGTGAAAGAGCGGCTGCCATTTAAATTCATCCAGCCAATAAGCTGCTGTTTATGCTAACTTGGAGAAATCATCTGTCACACACACACACACACACACACACACACACACACACACACACACACACACACACACACACGTAATCACTACTATGAGCTACATTCATCAACACTGCCAACTCGGTCTTACACTGCAGAGCTCTCATTCTCCACTCAATAAA